GTGTCCCGGTCATGTTTTGATGGTGTCCCGGTCATGTTGTGATGGTGTCCCGGTCATGTTTTGATGGTGTCCTGGTCGTGTTGTGACGGTGTCCCGGTCATGTTTTGATGGTGTCCCGGTCCTGTTGTGATGGTGTCCTGGTCATGTTTTGGCGTTGTGCCGGTTATGTTTTGATGGTGTCCGGGTCATGTGACGGTGTCCCGGTCATGTTGTGATGGTGTCCTGGTCATCTTGTGATGGTTTTCCCGTCATGTCATGTTGGTGTCCCGGTCACCTTGTGATGGTGTCCCGGTCATGTTGTGATTGTGTCCCAGTCATGTTGTGACGGTGTCCCAGTCATGTTGTGATGGTGTCTCGCTCATGTTGTGACGGTGTCCCGGTCATGTTTTGATGGTGTCTCGGTCATGTTGTGATGGTGTCCTGGTCATGTTTTGGCGGTGTGCCGGTTATGTTTTGATGGTGTCCGGGTCATGTGACGGTGTCCCGGTCATGTTGTGATAGTGTCCCGGTCATGTTGTGATGGTGTCCTTGTCATGTCATGCTGGTGTCCCGGTCACCTTGTGATGGTGTCCCGGTTATGTTGTGATGGTGTCCCAATCATGTTGTGACGGTGTCTCGGTCATGTTTTGATGGTGCCCTAGTCATTTTGTGATGGTGTCCCGGTTATGTGATGATGGTGTCCAAGGAAGAGATGGTCGATGTGTTGAAAACAGCAGCTGTTTCCAGATTCTCTTTTTGTCCCGGTTTGTATCTTGCTATTGGGGTCTCCAGCTGGGCTAATTCTTCTAAGTTGATCCATAAACTTAGACAACAAACACAACATTTTGTTCCAGTCGTCAACTCAACTCAGCAAGGACCGCATAAAGCCACCCTTCCCGAGTCTTCTCACCCCAGTCACCGGAGTCATGGGGCAGGTGCGCCCGACATCGTGCGGGGCCTTGAACTTCGAAGGCAACATATTGGGGTACCTTAGTCAACTTTTTATGAACCCCTGACATGTAACAGCATTTCCATACATGTACTAGTACAGTTGTCATTCATTGCGGTTCACCAAGAACATTCAATAAGTTTGTTCCGCACGCTACAACTTGGCTCAAGGAAAATCGTGCGTCCGCCCGGTTTTCCACAGGGCGCCGTACTTGTTGGCCTGTGGCTGACAATACTTAGTACTTTTGTCGCTTTTGCTTCCGCACCTTTCGCTCTTTCACTTTCGATCGTTCGCTTGTGCCGTCGTGCCGACGTTCCTTCGTTCCACTTCCAACCACGGGCACTCGGCACTCCGACTCGCCTCGTGCGTTGGTTTCTGTTCGTAGGGCAGCTAGGGACTTGGCATACTTCTTCCACCACATCCCCTTTAATAGGGTTAGCTGGGCCATCCCTTATATATCTGCCAACAGGTGTCAGTAGGTTCCTACCGGAGGACTTACTGTTTTCATTATCTTTCGTTCACCTTGTTGAGATACCTACATGTTCTTTTTCAAGGTGAATTGCAGAATGCATCCTTTGATCATTTTGGACAGTTCTCGTGTTCGCCATATGTACAGGGGACACCCGTTGCCACTGGTGGAAATGCGTTTGTTCAAAGACATGAGCACATACCATACCAACAGAAACAAATAACCAGGGGCCAATAATCATGCAATCTGTACATCTCCCAGTAAACCGTCCTACTATATATGTAAGTCCTCTGGGAAAATCATCATCCCAGAAACCATTTTCCACTTCCATGCTATATAATGAGTCAAAGCGTGACCTATAACCATTGAGTTCGAACACCACTTCGAAAACTGAGGCGCAGCTTCGCTTGCCTAGCCCGTCGGCCGTGAGGGGGCCTGACCCTGTGTGAGCTGCCTGTTTTCCCTGTGAAGATGGGCACGAGCAGCGTACATTTTGGCTGGAGTACATCGAGATTCTGCGTCGAATGGCAATGGATTTTGTATGATATTGGTTTATTAATGGATGTTTATGGCATCCATTCCGATGGCGGGATGTTCACTGACATTGTTTGCTAAGTTTTGGCACTGGTTGCACTGGCTCCTCCTTCGTTGGTACTAGACAGATATGGCCATTGATGGGCTGGCCATGGACCACAACGCAAACTCTGTGATTTTGATCAGCAGGTTTGACCATGTTTGACTGAACCTAAACGAACAAAAAAGTGACTGACTCGTCTCAGCCCAATGATAGAGGAACTAACTCGTCGATGGCACCCATCAGATACCTGCCATGCCGCATCAAAACCCAGGAAACACTTCAAGAGCCTGCCCCCTTCAAGATCAAAGACATTCTGCAACCTTATCTGACTTTCCAAAGACCAGGTAGGTCTGAAAGTGCAGGGAAGTCCTGCTCCCAAAGTTCGGGTATGTACAGGAACTGAGTGTCTCGAGATCCGACACTGAACCGGCCTCTGAGGCCAACTCCCGACCGTGCGGAGGCACAGGTCAAGCGGAGTTCGCGTCCGGTGGTGGGGATTAGCTCAATCGAAGGAGGAAAGGTTGGTCCAATCAGGGCAAGACAAATCAGAGTGCCAACCGAGAGCATGCTCCAGCAATCAATACCAATCAACGAGCGGTCACTCCCTTTGGACTTATTTGGGTGGGAGTAGTCGGCGTATGTTTACAGGTTAGTTATGCTGATTGGAGCCCCCAAATAGTTGTTTGTCTTTGGAGTGGAGGTTGCCATATGCCCTACTGCGCACCAGCATTGACTGGAGAGTAGCATCAACATACACTCCTCAAAGTGAACAGGAGCATCGTTTTCGCCCCTGAGGTTCACGCTGGATTCCCAACGGACCCTGAACTCTGAAGGCGCTGGGTGTGGCACTGGCGGGTGACCGACACGAGAAAGGGTTTGACCAGGAATGAAGAGCTGGAGTGAAAGAGGACACAATTCTTCCATGGACGAAGTATTTTTGACATGATGTGATGATGTTTCGATTTGTTGTCGCAAAGTGGATGTTGCGACGAGCATTCATCCAGGTACAATCTGTGAGACAACCTTCCGAGGATGTCAGTGACGTGTCCGATGTCGACATGGTAGACCCACGGGGCACCTCAACTTCCTCAAACCTCAGTAACTTGGGTGCCCAGCGGCGTTCCACTCATCCCCTCCCATCCGTACTTTCATGTATTTTCTGTCAGAAAGCGTGTGTTTTACTTTTCAAGCCATTGTGCGGGCACGTCAAAAGAATCGTCCGTTTTGCTGTTCCTGTTGGGTTTCTCAGCCGGGAATCCGCCGACTGATGGTCCCCCTCAGCCGACTGCTGCAGGTGTGGAGGGGATCTTGCAAGAGCTGAAAGTGGAGGAGCGCAGCGTGTGCAGCCTTCTGCGAGTTCCCCGCAGCGGCTTGGAACCACGGGGGGTTGGAGCCATGACCTGATGGGGGTGTGGAGCTGCACAGCTGCACCCAGCTGGAGCTGGGAGCCATTTGGTGTGGAGCATCGGACCTGAGCATTGGACCCAACTTCCACTTGGGGTCATTCAACTGGCCTTGGGGAGCAAGGCAAGGCTTGCTTGGGGACTTGGGGATCGCTGTGGGAGATGTTCAAGTTGCCACAAGTCACAAGCATTCTTTATTGCAACGGACTGTCAGGTGGTGGGGGAGGCCGTTCAGTTTTGAGGTACACCCCCCATCCAGGGTAACGTGGACATGGAGAATCAACACCCTGAACATTGTTTTCCGGTATACGCTGTGGCTTTTCTATTCGTGTTTGTTTTTGTCCTTCGGTTCTCTCCCAACTTCAACAGTTTCAAAGACACCTTTGCTTGCAAGTCGGCTGTCCAAACGGCAGGGACAATAGGCCTGGTGGAAGGTTCTACCCCACTACCGCGCACTGGGGTTACGAACTGGTGGGGATGATGTTCTACTACAGTATTTTGTGTGGAAAGAGCTCCCTTTTTGCTGATTGATGGCGTTTGATCCCCCACAGCATCGCGTGAGGACGGAGGTGGATGAGAGGCGGATGGCTTTTCAATGTTTGAGTCGGGCGTGGAATCTGAAGCTGCATCACTCCAAAAAGAGTCCGAAAAAACTTAATTAGACTCTGACTTTTGGAGTTTATCATAATTAGATAAACTTTTTTCAGTGGGTGAGAGTCAGAGTCATCGTGGTCGTTTGCCATACAAACTGCGGGTTGCACCTTGAACGGGCCGCCATCAACAGCAGCGGTGGCATCATGGGTTCCTACGGGAGGTTCATTCAGAATGATGTTGAGTCGCCACTCACAGGGTCTTGAATTAGACACCAGGGCCTTGATCAGAAAAAGATGTCATTACGATTGGACCGTGCCAGTTGTGGTTGATTGGCACTTCTGGGTTCAACTCCATCGAACGGAGTGTCCTTGGAGGGTCGCTAGAGGTGGTGCAGCGGCTGGACCATGACCTGGCACGTCTTTTAATGTGACTGGATGCAGGTGGTTTGAAGTGGGCGAAAGGTCAAGCCAGTCCCGGTTTGAGGGCATGACCTGCTTGACGGACTGATACTGATGAACTATGTCCGACTGAGTAAGCCCACTTTTGTATGTCCAAAGCGCATTGCCATTCTTGGCATCACGATTCTAGGACACTGGAAGACCTTGTGAAGAAAAAGCAGGTCAACCATTTGGGATGGCCTTCTTTGCGCTCCGCTTCATGGATTGGAGTAAAACCATGGCGGGACTCTCGTTGGATGGATTCCTTGGTGTCCTGCGGGAGTGGCCTTGGCATGCCTTGGCGCTCACCTGCTACGTGAAACGCCGCCGAGTCCGTGTCCTCGTCTCACCCCGACGGTGCCGGGAACCCCCGCGGTGGGGCAGGGCGTTCGGGGGTGCAACGGCGCGAAAGGGACGACATCGATATCACCCGGAGCTGTTTTTTGCTTGATCCTCCAGTTATATATATATATATAATATATATATATATATTCATTTGGGAAAGTCGGCAGGGGGTGGATTTTATGATATTTTGTGGAAGTTCACTGTTAGCAAAGTCACTAGTCACTAGTCCATACTCCTTCAAACAGGCAATCCAATCACATTGGGCGTTCTCCCCACCGTGACCCGTATGCGCCCCACCATTCCGAGCCTCAAGTGGGGCCCTGTGGGAACTCTCAAAAGAGATATATAGGGCAATCGGCCTGGCAATACCATTTGGCCTGGGTAGAACGACCTAGCCATCGGCCTCAACCCACACAAAAAGATTTGACATAGGCGCGCTCAACGCGCATTAGATTGACTAATTTGGCTGAAGTCTCTTTGAGAGGGCTTAGTGAGTTTGCTGAGCAACTGCCACAGCTAAGCTGTTGGAGAAGCTTGGAGACGTGTAGCATATGCAGCGAGAAAGACGCCTACATGTGCGTGATCACTCCTGACCGGCCGGGCGGAAAGGGAGTTGTCAATTTTTGTGGAGGGTGTGGTTCACAGTTGAACACATTATTATTTTTGACCGGGCATATCCCTGGCCTTGCTCCATAATCGGGATCAAATAGAATGATTAGGGTACGGCACGGGTATGTTTGGAGGACATGATATTTTATTGTGTTGTTGAATCTGAGAATCCGGAATAGATTTCCGTTCGTGCTGAATTCAGAGGGTGCTGGCCCCTGCATCCATAACGTGCCACAGCCTGACCAGGCCGCCCATGTATGACTCCAAAGTAAGTAACCCAGAGGTGGACCAGGTGCACGTGGCTCACAAGGCATGTCCAGCGATACTCCAGCAGTCCCAGTCAATGAGGAACGACATGGAACGAACTTCCTTTCAATTTCAACAAACATAACAATTCCCTGCACCTTGGCTAAAGAGAGAACCTATCCTGATAGTCCCAATCACTTCTAGTAGCACGTTGAGTCAGCTTAAATCCGTACAGAGCCCAGGTCCCCGCCGCTCCGTTTGGCTCCTGTACTTCTGAGGGCGCTGAGCCGCCCAATTTTCCAACCTTACCCTCCCCGTGCTGCCTGGGATCGTTTCATAACCAGCACCAGAGCTGTTGCATGAGTCATTCCTGAATCTAGGAATAGGTTTCCCAACAATAGCATGTCAACAACGGTGGCACGGCTTCCAGAGATGGGTTGTCAGGAAGGCCTCGCAGTGCTTGCACAGAATACTATTAGCGAGCGGCCATGCATGTTTTCATGGGTGCTCTCTTTCAGAGCGCACATCATCAACTCGTCTTTCAAGAGCCAGGTCAGACATGGTGACTGAGGAGTTTGCTCTTGGCTAGGTTTATGACGTTGAAACAGCACTTTATTCCGCTTTCTCTACGTGTGCCATCCCGGAAGCAGCTAGAACCACCGCAGGCTCTGCAGCGTGGTTGGTTGCCGAGTTGTAGACCGTCCGTCGGATGTTCCCTCACTAGACATGGTTCGCCTGTCTCTGCACGTGATGAAGGGAGGAGAGGGGTGTGAAGTGGGTGATGTTGATGTAGGAATTGTTCCAGGTGTTGGTGCTGGCCTGCGTAGGACAGGTATGCATGGATACTGTAGAGCTTCACACACCTGTGATGCTGTAAGGGTTGTTGTTGTTGCTGTTGTTTCACATTTTTTTGTTGACCATCGGGACAATGCATCAGCCAGTGATTGCCTGTCACCCCCCCACATCTTACTCCTAAAGTGTCAAACTGTCTCCCATCGTGAGGCAACCTAGCCAAAATCCCCGACATGGCGCGGCAAATCTGGGTGATGAGCTCAGATGGGGCGAATCCCAGATATCACAGGCTTTTGGGGGCCCACAAGTCGTAGCTTCAGTGGTCATTTGAGACCAGGATCACGTCCGCAGCTGGATTCAAGAGTGGTTGCCCAAGTAAACACATCAAACAATAGTGATCCAAATGCGCTTGACTTGTTTTGTGGATGGCCGATACAGCCACCGACGAGTTCCTGACAACGTGGTTCACCAGGTTCAGAGGTCTCCTTTACAGAGGCCTCCACCCTAGTAGCGATGCTTCCAACCTAGTAGCGATGACCTCCAAGCTAGTAGCGATGACCTCCAACCCAGTAGCTTCTAGCCTACTAGTATGTTTATTTATTACATCACATGACATTGCCTCGACAAATGTCCTGTGGAAATCACAGTACCACAGGTGAGCGCGGTCCATGACATCCACCATATGGGCCACGAGCACCTAGTACACTCGCTACTTCTGAGTTCAAATACGAAGTACTGAGTGCTTGGACTTCTGTTCTTCCATTTGAAGAAGGGAATCGGTTTGAGTTTCTCAAACCAACACCACTAAGTTAACTGATTTACGTTTGTCCTCTCATTGGGGGCATGGGGATCTCCTGGGTTCCCATTCTATAGTCCTTACTGAGTCTCCAAGATCTTGGAACTGATTCTTTGGACATGCCCGGGCTGAGCCCTTGGAGCATGCAGGCCGTCCTTGCTTCGTTCCCACTGCTGCTCAACGCACGCGAGGACCGCGTTGGTGAACGGAAAACCTCACCCAGTGTTGGGTCACACCGTGACTGGTGTTTTTCTTTCCAGCGAAGGGTAAAGGAGTTGAGTCTGTCTCCAAATGAGGTTGACATATATTCAGTTCCCTTGTACTAGGGTTGGCCAATTTTGCCAATCCCAATTGAACATGGAGCAAGTTCTGTGGGCTCCAGATTCTTGAGAGCAGCGCACATCTCTGCACGGATGTCATAAATAAAACATGTTTCCGGAAGTGTGAAGATTTTGTTTCAAATGAGGGGCAAGCCGGGCAAGGCCATAGCCCAAAGGTTGCATCAGAACCAACCTTCAACTTGAGTCTTTGCATTAGGCCCTAATCCTTGAAGTCTGTAGAGAAGTGCGACCTGATTGTGGGGTTCTTGACAGCATACACTTGTTGTTACAGGAGGACGATGTTCTCGATCGATCACTTTTTTCCACCCGCTCCTCGTCAAGGTTTTGATTCGCACAATGGTCACCCGCTCAAAGTGGGGAGATCCGCTGAGCCATTTTCGCTCTAGTCGCTTGGCCGTTGATTTTAAGTGGTGGAAGGTGGTTTGCCCATGTCATACCCGCTCCGTGATCTCTACTGTACACTAAGCCGAACTCGGACTCTGGAATACTGGGAGCGATTTGGGGAGTGGACAGCTGATTTTTAAGGTTAGAGATGTTTCACCTAGTTTCACATGGTTTCATTGGATCTTGATCTCCTTTACTCCGGCAGAATGGACCTATGGGTCGCAGTTCCAGGAGTGTGGTGCCACGCCCTCAAGGACGGTGAAGTGGCAACCGAGTGTTGAACAAATCAGACACGGTCAAAAGGCCAAAAGGATGAGAATTTGATGAGAATTGCTCATGGCAATGGCCTCCAATGGTCCAGAGCGACGGCCTCCAGGAGAAAGATCAGAGAAATTCTTATTGTTGCTAGTAGTAAGGCACTTGTTCCTAGTAGCTTCTTTGTTACTACTAGTAAGGCACCTGTTACTACTAAGGCGATGTGGCCACCAGACCTGCCAGACCTAAAGTTTGCAAAGATGGGACTCTGCCGACTGTGCCAGAAGAGAACTCCTCAACACATGGGGAAACATGCAAGAACCGCACCAGAGGGCAAAAAGGTCCAAACCATCAAAGGTGGATGTTTCAAGTGTCGCCCAAGCCCTGATGAGAAGTGCTTGTTGGGTCAACTCATACTATATTTCCAGTTTTTGGACACAAAGCTGCGTTTGGGGCGAAGTCCAGGAGTTTGGCCATGGTCCAAACAAGGCACCAGCTGGTGAATGAGCAGGGGCACTCAGACGGTACGGTCTCACTTTGCTCCGAAATCAATCCTTCTTTTTTTCATTTTGTTTTTCGGTGGTTTGGACCCGGCGATAGAAAGCTCCGGTGGCGAGGCGAGGCGAAGCAAGCCTTTGTTGGCTTGGCCATTTTCCATACCCCCAACTACTAAAGGTCTTGGGTGGGTGGGTTTGCAGGGCGTAGGGTCTCGGATGGTCGCTTCAAGCATTATAGACCCGAGAGCTTGGGGTATTTTAGACCTTTTCATAATTACCAACATTTCACAGAATTACTTTTGTTTGAGTGGGTTTGTTGCAGTTTACATGTGGTGAGGAACAACATTCCGGAC